TACAAGGGTGTCCATGGTTTGGAGAGATATACTGGGATTCGATGGAAATAGTCCTGAGCTGCTGGAGTTTTTTAAGGTCAATGCAAAGCTTATCATTGGCGATGGAAGGAATACAAAATTCTGGCTTGACAATTAGGTTGGTGTTGGGAGCTTAAAAGATGCATTGCCTAGATTATTTTCTGTCTCTTGATCAATGTGAAATAGTGGCAGTGGTTAATAGCAGGAGAAATGGGAATGAAGAGTGGGATTTGGCTTTCAGACGAACCTTGTTTCAATGGGAACTTGACAAGCTGAGGAGGATGAAGGTGATGTTACAATCTGCTCATGCCCTCAGGGAAGGAGTGCTGGATGGATTGAGATGGAATGCAGATAAGTCAGGAGTGTTTACTATAGCATCTGCTTTCAAGTGGAATGAAGTTTCATCTGATGTTACTGCAAAATTAGGGACATTCATTTGGAAGAATGTGGCTCCACCGAAGGTGCAATTTTTTGGATGGTTAGCATATAAATAGAGGATCAAGACATCATGCTATCTTCAAAGCATTGGAGTACTCAGTGATGTTTCAGATGTTAGTTGTATTTTCTGCGGAAATGAATTGGAAACTGTTAATCATTTGCTGTTGTGTTGTCCTTTTAGTTGAAGGATTTGGTCCAATGTTATTAATTGGTGGGGAGTATCTTGGGTGTTGTTGGGGTCAGTGTCTAGTCTTTTGCAGTGGTGGGATGGGTATAGATTCAACAAAAAAGAAAAGGTCATCTGGAAGGTTATCCCATTGGCAGTGCTCTGGTCCATATGGAGGCAGAGAAATGAAATGATTTTTAATGGCACCCAGGTAGATTTGGAAAGGTTGTGTGAACTTATCAAAATAAGGATTGCTTTGTGGTTTAGAGCCTCAAACCCTTCTTTTTGTTACTCAGTCACTGATATTGTGCACAATTTGCAGCATGTGAAGTTCTGCTTTATGTCCTGATGGGGCTGGGATGTGTTCTTATCTGTCTGCTAAGGATGTGTTCTTATCTGTCCTGCTGTGTTTTTGTTGTGGTTATGGTCTTTCTTGCAGTTCATAAAGCATTCATTGGTGGGGCTTGAAAAGTAAGCTCATTTGGCAGCAGCATTTTGGTGGCAGTATCTAGTTAAAAGGTGCCTGACTTGGAAGTAACAGCAGCAGCTGGTGTAGAAGCTATTTTCTGTCATTGTTCTGGTTTCTAATCTGCATTATTCTGGTGTAGTAGCAGCAACTGTGGTCTGGCACTGTTTCTTGGTTTTGTTTTTGTTTTTCTTTGGCTTCTAATTTTTCTGGTTGGTCTGGTTTATCTGGGTTGTTTTGGCATTGTCAGAGATCAATTCACTTTTCTTCATGCAATGTTTATTCAACTGTCTAGAACTGGTATGTTACTGGATTGCTATGCTCAGCAGTGGTTGTGCGATCCATTTGATAGTTTGCCAATTGCTGAGTGCTTCTTATGGGTGATGTGTTCACCGGAATCTGTTTTGGGTGTCTGTGGGTGATCTGATGCTGTTTTGTGTTCTGTTTTTGGTGTGCTGCTCTGTTCTGTTCTATTTTGGTGTGCTACTTCAGGTGTATTGGATATTGGTTGGTTCTGGTTTGAAGTGTGGGCCTTTGCCACTGCTGCAGAGTTGCTATTGCTGCTGTTTGTTTTACTGGGTAAATTTGTGTGTATTGGTATTTGGTTGGTTCTGGGTTGAAGTGAGGTCTGTGCTGCTAATATTGATGATCTTTTGCTGTGTTTGTTGTTTACTGGGGGGATGATTATAGCTTGAAAGGGGTGTTTTGTTTTCGGTTTTTGTTTTGGTGTTTTCCTGTTTTGCTCTGAATGTTAGTTACTCACCAACTTAGAGTTTGGAGTTAGTGCTAGCAGATGATTTGGTCGGCTTCTTGGTGCCAACCTGGTTGGGATCTTGAGGTTGCACTGTGATACTTTTTTCCATCAATAAAGTTTCTCTTTACTAATAAAAAAAAAAAAAAACCAAGTGACTAGGATGAAGACAATTGTGAAGTGAATCTGGAATTACCATAATTTATAAAGAAATTTCATGACTTGAGTTGTATAAACATAAAGCATATATATATATATAGAACTTCCAAGGGTGAGTAAGAAAAAGGCCCTAAGGAGGATGGTGTAAAAGATCATTAAGCATATATAATATAAAAAAATAAAAAAATAAATTAAAAAAAAAACAAAACAAAACAAGACAAAACAAAACAAAATTAAAAATGTTAAGGAATAGTCCCAATGAGATACTTCAAAAATCAAAAAACCATAGAGGCTATTGTTTAAAATAATAATAAAATTATAAAAAAAAAATCCAGCAATAATAGAAAATCATATTTTGAGTGCCCACAAAAAAATTCCAGCAGTATATCCAGGCTCAACATAATTTTTTTTTATCAGCAAAAAATTAAATTCATTGATATAAAACTGAGTACAAGATGTATATATAAAATTCATTCTAACTATACACATATACCAAAGCTAATTAACTGCTATGCCGAGGAACCACAAACATAAAATTTAAAATAATAAAAAAATAAAAACTCACTTCTCAGTTGAAAATTCAAGAGTTAAAAAAGAAAAATCATAGCATACATAATCTTGACATCATTCAACAAGGATACTGGTGGCTTGCAAGTTTTTTTTTTTTTTGTTTTTTTTTTTGATCGGCAAAAGAGAACCTTTATTGATGCAAAAACCAAACAAAACCAGAGATTACATCAAAAAAGGAGGGTAAGAGCAGCAAGCTAGCTCACCCCAGGAGTTTGGTGAGGAACCAAACCAGAGATTACATCATTCAACAAGGTTACTGGTGGCTTGCAAGTGCCAACACGGGCACAAAAAAAACAAGAAATCAATGGAAAATGGTGTTCTCAAATTATGCTCATTAGAATTCTAGAACGTGAAAATTTGTCTTCGAACATGTGATTTTTAGTATAATGTTGGTGTCGAGCAGAGAGTTCGGAAAAACTCAACCACATCAACATAGTTGACAACTTTGAATATAGAGAATAAAAATCATACAAATATATGCAAATCCAACAAATATAAACTACATCATAAACCCAATGGTAAAAAGGTTAAGATATATGTGGTTTGGTATCATGAAAAGAATAGTTACTCCAAAGAGCAACAAACAAATAGTACAATTTCTCCAAACTCAATATATACGTTTTCTCACCAAACTCAAGATCATCTTTACATAGATCATCTTTACATAAGTGTCATGAGAAGTAGGATGGGGTTGGGGTGGCTGCTGTGTGTGGGGGGCACAACAATCATTGCTGTGCAGTGAAACAGGCTCATTTCGAAACTCATTTCGATAATCCGAATAGTTCATATTTTAGAATATATCAAGTAGAATATGCCTGCAAAAAATTAAGTTAATCGGATATCGTTTTGTGATTTAAAGTATTAAAATGAATACAAACGTGAGTAGATGAATGAGTAAACAATATCCGATTAACTTGATTTTTTACAGACATGTTCTACTTGATATATTTTAAAATGCGAACAGTTTGGATTATTGACATGGGCCTCGAAATGCGCCCATTTAGACAAAGATCAACAAAAACAAAACTCAAACTCTCTAACTTACTAAGAATTGTTGATAACTCTCAGCAAATTATGAGTTCAGTGAGAACTTATATATTGAGTTTTTATTGATGTGTAAAATCCTTTGATTTCAATAAAAAATAAATAAATAAATAAAAATAAAAAAAGAGAAATCCACTACCAAAAATCTTGTGAAGCTTACCCAATAAGAGACAAGGATCTCCAACATCACCAAATAACTTGTTGGGAGAAAACGCAAATGAAAGCACAATCAAACACACAGAATAAAGACATTCTAAAAATAAATAAATAAAAGCACACACAACAAAGAATTTAAATAATTCGACTCCAATTGCATACATCCATAGGGAAATATATTTTTCTATATAATAATAAAGTAGAGAATACATGATAGTCAAAATATTCAAAGCTCACATCGCTACCTAAAATCACATACTTAAGGATAGTTGAGCCTCTCTTTTTTTTAACAGCAAAAAACAGCCTTTTATTGATGATAATTGTCATACATACAAATGAATTACATCAAATAAAGGAAGAGGAAGTGCAAAAAGTATCAAAGCATAACCGCACAATCCCAATTAGGTTGGCACCGCAAGAAATACCCAAGCATTTACCAGCACATTTCAAGATTGAAGAGAAAACAACCACAAAACACACTGAAAAAACACCAAAATAGTCCACCAAAAAACATCCCTCTACATCTGTCCAACAGCACACCAAAAGAGAGAAATACTTGCTTCAGGCAAAACAAGCCAGCAGACCACTACCACTACCTAAGCAAAGTGGTCTGCTGGTTTGAGTACCTAAGCAAAGGGATAGTAGAGCCTTTACTCAGCCTAACGTACCACAATGTTTTTTCTCTGATCTCATACATCTCTATTTTCGTCTCACTGTTCTCTTACTAAAACCTACAACCCCCATAACTACATCGTATTCTACCCAAAAGAACCTTAGTTTTCATACAATTATATAACCAAATCCTATGCACATGGCTTTATCAGTAGATCCTATATTGTATTATCCTACATTAAACACATATATAAACTAAAACGAATAACTTTATAAATCCCACATTTATTACATGAATGGACTAATCCCAACAGTGTCCCACCAAAAGGGACTGCTGTTACTCTGCTGGTGTATAGTGCTGGTGCATATTGCTGTGCTTAGTGCTGGTGGTTTTTTTTTTCCTTTCTTTGTTTTCTGTCTCTTGGTTGGTTGCTCTCTAACTTTGGGGGTACTAGCAAATGATAGAATGGGTTTTTTGGTGCCAACATAGTTGGGATGATTTAACTCATTGTGATGCCTTGCACTCTCCTTTCTTTTTTTTTTTGATGTTTGTTGTTTACGTACGTCGTACTATACTCTTACATCAATAAAGTTTCTTTCTTTGCCGATCAAAAAAAAAAAAAGTGATCAAAGAGCACACAAAGAATAAAATTCTACCAAAGAGCTACTAGAGAAACCCCCAAATGGAGACACCCAAAGACGGACAATCATCAAAGGAAAGAGACCCTCTACATATTTGTAGTTAAAATTTCCTTTCTAAAGCTAATATAAGCCAAAGTTGGTTTGCTTGTGCTCGAAGTACAAAACCAAGAAGGAAACATACAAAACAAAACTTTTGGAAGTTCAAGTTGACCAAATAAGTCTTTCAATGAATCCAGTTCATAAATGACTCAAAAACATGCTAAAAACAACTTTGGAAATTTCATAAATGTCTTTGTATCACAAAAATGTGTCACTAGAATCGGGACCACCACCAATCTACCACTCGAGTGATAAGACAATCACTCCCTTGAGAGATGGTCTCAGGCTTTCACAAAACCGATCCAAAATCAATAGTCGGGGAGCCAATGCTCTGCAAGGCAAGAAAATTCAAGAAAGAAAGGAAGAAAAAGCATTAGTGATATTAAAGTGGCAATACATGAAGATATTTGGAAGCATATCAAAGAGGCAGAAAAAAAAAATTTATGAAAATATAGAAGAAGAAGAAGAAGAAGAAGAAGAAGAAAGATGAGAATATAGTGGTTGAGTTTAGGGGGAAAAAAAGTTGAAAATGCGAAAGAAGTAAGATTCACAAATGATGAATGTAAAGATAAAATTAGAATTTAAAAAATAAATATATAAACAAACAAACGTAAGGATCAAAACTTTAAAGAATAACAAAGTTGGAATTTCAAAAATGGAGAAGGAATTTTCAATCAAAAATTCTAAGTTTGGTTGAATATGGTACAAAACATGAGTCAATGATATAAAGAATGTTTTCCACCAAGATTTGAAGAACAAAAAAATTAAAAGTTTTTGGCACCACAATAATATGATTACAAATTTGAATATCTATTTGGGTGTAGAGAATTTTGTTTTTGATATAGGTTGCATGACAATGAAACAAGCAAGATCAAGAAAGAAAATTTCAAGAAGCAAGAAAAAACAAAGAAATATGCAAAAACATAAGCAAGCTCATTCGACTATGAAATTCAAGAGGACTAAATGATATTGCAAAGGCATAATATCAACCAAATCAAGGTCCTACCTTGATGCTTATCAATGAAGTTTCATTTTACTGATATAAAAAAAACACACCAAATTTTTATCTTTTTTCAGCAACACTATTGAAAGAATGCAGCTAACAATAGCTAATCTAGAGTTATAAGTAGAGATATTCAACTTATTCCTGAGTAGTACCTTACAAGCTGCCATTTTAAGTGTGCAACTTTCTTCACAATTTCACTTCATCTGAAATAATAACGTGGATGATGAGTGACAAAAAGAAAATTTCTTTTGCACATTTCATGAAAATATTGACCAAACAGTGTTTTAAAGACATCAAAAATGAGTAGTCTCCAAATAGCAAACACATTATTGTTACTTCAAATTCAACTCGCTTCTAATCATGTCGGTTAGTTTTTGTTGTAGCACAGATTGATCAATGCATGTAGGGTCACTGACCTGCAAGTAAAACCCATATGGCAAAAGTGAACTTAGATAAAACCCTAAACCTAGAAATTGAGATCAATCGATTTTTAAACCAAAAATACCTCAGATCTGATTGTGTGAAGTAACCTATCATTTACTTCAGTGGAAACATAGCTAACAACTTCAAGTCCTTCTTGAAGAAGTATTTGAAGCACTCTTGATAGGGGAAACACTTCCTCTCTGAAGCCACTGGTGATCAGAATTTCAACACCACCACGGCATGGGTTGACTGTGACATTATAGAGCAAGGAATTGTTTGAGCTTGAACTTGTCCCGGAAACAACACTTGAATTGGGCATGTCCTTGAGCTTATCTCTCTTAATACTCAGTTGTTTGATGTTCTTCTCTAGGTGTTTGATATAATTCACACTCTCCTGAATGTGATCTGACATTGAACGCTTTCCCTGAAACACCATCCATCAACATAACCCTCCAGGGACCCAATTATCCAAAGGTAATAAAATCTTTAGCGAGAGAGAGAGACTTAGTGAAATTCAAGAGGGAGAAGTGAGTGCAGCAAACATTTAAGGTTATATAATCGGGGCATACTCGTAAATGGCAGGTGAAATTCTAGAAAACAATGGGAAAAGAAAGTACAGTTCTTCATCTTGATATGTTCAAAAGGAATGAAATCTTTAGAGAGAGATCTGTTTTCTTTAGGAAATTCAAGAGGGAGAGAGAAGTGAGTTCAGTAACCATTCAAGGTCATATAATCTTGGCATACTTGTAAATGGCAGGTAAAATTCTAGAAAACAATGGGAAAAGAAAAGAAAAAGTAAATACAGTTCTTCATCTTGAAATGTTCAAAAGGAATGAAATCTTTAGAGAGAAACTGTCTTCTTTGGGAAATTCAAGAGGGAGAAGTGTGTGCCGTAACCCTTCAAGGTTGTATAATCTTGGCATCTCTTATATATAGGGAGTGAAATTCTAGTGAACAACACTATGCGAAAAAAGAAAAGAAAATACAATTCATCACCTTGATATATTCAAGAGGGAGTAGGGATCGAAGCGATGCATGAAGGTTACCCATTTCTTGCCTTCTCTTCCGTTCGATCTCTTTGTGAACGATTTTCTGCGTGCTATTGTTTGTATTTTCTACTAATTTTTGCGGCCTTTTCCCAACTGTATCCGCGGTAAGATTACTACTCTCCGGTGCAACAAAACCCATGATTGGATCTTGTTTGTCTGCATTTTCTTCGAAGAGAATAGAGGGAATCTGAAAAACCAGCTCATCGTGATCGCTTTCGTTGAAAGGAAACATTTGCTCAATTGATTTATTACTCAAAACTTCAAAGAAGCTTATAATTTGGTTCTTAATTAAGTGTGTCAATGGAGGCAGATAAAGAAGGAGATACTGTCAAGGTTGTATAATCTTGGCATCTCTTATATATAGGGAGTGAAATTCTAGTGAACAACACTATGCGAAAAAAGAAAAGAAAATACAATTCATCACCTTGATATATTCAAGAGGGAGTAGGGATCGAAGCGATGCATGAAGGTTACCCATTTCTTGTCTTCTCTTCCGTTCGATCTCTTTGTGAACGATTTTCTGCGTGCTATTGTTTGTATTTTCTACTAATTTTCGCGGCCTTTTCCCAACTGTATCCGCGGTAAGATTACTACTCTCCGGTGCAACAAAACCCATGATTAGATCTTGTTTGTCTGCATTTTCTTCGAAGAGAATAGAGGGAATCTGAAAATCCAGCTCATCGTGATCGCTTTGGTTGAAAGGAAACATTTGCTCAATTGATTTATTACTCAAAACTTCAAAGAAGCTTATAATTTGGTTCTTAATTAAGTGTGTCAATGGAGGCAGATAAAGAAGGAGATACTGAAAATCTCTCTCTCTCTCTCTCTCTCTCTCTCTCTCTTCACAAAAATGGTGATTTGGGAAGTAAAAAAATGACCTCACAAGCCATTTTTTAAGGCTTGCTTGTGGGCACTGTAGTTGTGTACTGCTTCTACATTCACATTTGGTGGACCATCATGTTTCAACACATCATCATTATAGTAAAATATGCTATAGTATCTTACCCATCCTTTTATATTTTTTATTTAACATTTATTTATTTATTTATTTATCTTTTTAAACATATATTCATCTTACTTGTTAAGGAGTTTTAGTCGATGTAGGGACAGATGTTGGACTTTGACCTAATAATTGGAATTACAATTTCAGAACCCCACAAATATTTTTCCAAATAAATTTTACACGTTGAATTTAGTGTTAAATTATATACAATTATTTTTTCTACTTTCATATTTGCTAAAACGGCTCGTCAAACAAATAATATGTTATTGATACTAATGAAAAGGAGAAGAGAAGCATAATATATTTTGCTAAAATTGTTTTGGGGTTTTGCCATTTTTTTAGGAAGCTACACGAATAAATTAGACAGCTCCAATAATCTAGGCCTTTGCCCTATTATATGAGAGGTTGTACATCAGCTATAAATAAATGTTATATTATTATCTATTGGGCCAAAATGGGCCAAGCAAAGAAAACTTGGGCCAAAATAGCCCGAGCAAAGGTGTCTTTTGTGGAAAATCAGCTATATTATTGTTGCATTGCCAACTAAAGAAAACTTTTGTATTCTGTAGGCTTCCGTTTGTATTCTTTCTCTTTTCTGTTCAACTAAATTTCCTTTTTTTATGATAAAATTCAAAAATAAAAAATAAAAAAATAGTTGTTCTACAGACTACTCCCCTTCTTCTAATGCAATAGGCATAGCAGAGGAGTTCAAGACTCAATCTAAGCCTTTGATTATTACCTATTGTTGGCAATTTCCATTTTCTTATGAATTTGTTTCCTTTTGATTAATCTCAGGATTTAAAATTGGTGTTTCTATATAATCTAAGTGTCATAATAGAAAAGGACAATTTTTGAGAAATAATATTGAGTTTGTAAACTCTTTTTCTTCCAATAGTACTCTTTGTGAATTAACTACGATTAAGGTTTCGTTTGATAACTATATGTTTTAGTCAAAAAGTCACTATAAGTTTTCACATCACTCTCTCTATTATTGTGCACATTTTTTCATAAAAACTAAAAAAGTTACTAAACTAACTTATTCCCAAACAATGCATAACCCTTTATTCTCATAAACGAAAGTTTTTATTCCGAATATTCAATTTTAATCAAAGGACTTCAAACATTACTAAAAATTTTGTATAAATTGTGATAGTAGTCCCTGTACTTTAGTCATTGTGTTATTTTAGTCCTTGTAATTTTAATTGGTTCGATTTTGACCCTGAATTTATGATTTTGTTTTAATTTGGTCAGATTGATTACCACTCTTACCATTTTTTTTAATGAAAAATATGCATATAAGTGATATGTTTCATATTTTTTAAAGTAAAATTATAAATTTACTAACCTCGGTGAGTACTCAACCAATTCAATGATTATTTTCAATCAAAAATACTAACGGTGTTATCAATTAGATCAAATTGATACAAAATTTAAAATTAAATGTCAAAATTGTGTCAATTGAAAATGTAGGGATCAAATAACACAAAGGATAAGATACAAGAACAATGCTTCCGACCCCCCAGTGGGGGTGACCCCCAATGGCACCCCAGTGATGTGTGAGCCTCTCATTGGCTGAAAAAAAAAAAAAAAACAGTTTTTTTGGGCCAATCACAGCCGACCACCAGCATCCCACTGGGAGTCTGAAGCATTTTCCAAGATACAAGGATCACCAATGTAATTTGTCCAAAAAATTTTCTTTTACACGTTTTTGCTACATTTCGCTTATATATATATATATATGTGGTGAGAATCACTTATAAGAGAAGACATTGGATCGATCGAGTCAAAGTGAAAGTGACTCGTATGTTTGGCCTTAAGCGCTACCAATGATGTTCTCTCCGTGGTCCATGCAGCCTATATAAACTGGTCGGCAAAAGGGGAAAGAAAATTAGTGAACTCGGTCGACATATAAAGGTGAATTTTTATTCAATTATTGGCATGTTTATTTATTACAAGTGCATGAAAAGCTATACAAAAAATAAAAATATAATAAAAAAAAGACTAGGAAACCTTAGCAACTTCGTATCTTTTGTGTGCCTACCTAATGATATCGGGAAGAGATTGTTTATAAGGCATTGTTTGGTGGTGGTTAAACAAGGCTTTGTTTGGTGGTGGTTGTGGAAGAAATGGGGGGATTATCCACTATGCAAAGTGACTTGTTTATATTATTATTAGGTATATGGCACTTGTATAAAGATATATCATGAGGCTATATGGTTCAAAAATACTTCTAGGGAATCTTTCACACTTGATTCCATTTTAAAATAGTTCATAGCTATGATTTAGTGTATCTTTATATGATGTTGTTAGGTAATTTATATATTATATAAGGAAAATGTGTTTTTAGTGAGTAGTTTTGTGAGAGTTTTAATATTTTATACTAATTTTTTTGACTTTCTTAATTTTAAATAATTAAGAAAATTTTCATTAGTTAGTTTTTATTTGCTAGTCTCACATCAAGAAAAGAAGAAAAAAAAAAAGTTATTTTATTCATATAAAGGGAATCTTATACTCTCATCCCATTTAGTGAGGAACTTTGTGAGAGTTTCAATATCTCATACTAATTTTTTTGATTTTTTTTAATTTTAAAAAATTAAGAAAATTTTCATTGGCTAGCTTTTATTTGATAATCTTACATCGAGAAAAGAATGAAAAAAATGAGTTATTTTACTCATATAAAGTGAATCTTATACTATCATCTCATTTAATATTGTAGTGTTGTACATATTTCAATTCAATATAGTTTAAATTTTAAAAATTTTAATTAATTAATTATGACCTAGCTGATTAGGCTAAATCATTTTTGATTTGATTGATCTGTTGGTTTAATCGCGATTTTAGTGGTTTTACCAAAATATATTGATTAGATTTATTTGATTCAAAATAAACTAAAGATTGATTTGATTAAAGATTGAAAGACTGAGGTTGCTTGATTAGAAATAAACTTTATGTCTAAATAATTGTTAATTTTTATTTTATAATCCCACATTGAAAAGAAAAAAAAATGAGTTGTTTTACTTATGTAAAGAGAATCTTAATAGTGTAATGTTGTGTATACTTCAATTCAAGAAACTTTACATTTTAAAATTAAAATAATATTTAAAAGTTTTAATTAATTAATTTTCGTATAAGTTGGTTGGTCATTTGACCTAACAAATTAGGTTAAACCATTTTGGGTTTGACCGATTCGTCAATTTAATCGCAATTTCTCATACTGATTTTATTAATTTTAAACAATTAAAAAAATTCCATTGGCTAACTTTGGTGTGTGGGGGCGACTTTAATGAGATTATAAATGTAGGGGAAAGAAAAGGGTGTCTAAGAAGGGATAGAGGGATGGTAAAATTTAATGAGTTTATTTAGGAGTTAGCTTTGTATGATGTTCTAATGCATGGAAGGCAATTCTCATGGAGTAATTCAAGAGATGGGGGTAGATGGAGTAGAATTGACAGAGTTCTCCTAGCACCCGAGTGGATAAGAAAGTTTAAATTTAAGTTGTGGGGCCTTCTAAGGGGTGTGTCTGACCACTGTCTCCTGATATTGATGGAGGATGAAAGGGATTATGGGCCAAAGCCGTTTAGGTTCTTAAATGCTTGGTCGTTACATACTAAGTTTCTGGATGTGGTCAAGCAGATGTGGGAGGCTTCAAATGTCTCTGGGGGGGCTGGGTTTATCATTGCAACAAGACTTAGATATCTCAAGTTGGAATTGAAGAAGTGGAATAATGAGGTATTTGGCAATGTTTCCTTCTCACTCAAAAAAGCTGAGGTGGAGCTTCATGAGCTTGATCTATTGGCAGAGTTTAGAGATTTGACAGAGGCTAAGATAGTCAGGCGAAAGGAGGTAAAGAAAGAGGTGTGATCTTTAAGGAAGAGGGGCGAGCGGTTATGGTTTCAAAAGTCTAGACTGGACTGCAGCTTGAAAGGGGATAAGAATACAAGGTATTTTCATACCATCGTATCTTGTAGGCAAAATCGAAATTTACTAAATTCAATTACAATTGAAGGGGTACTCCATGAGGATCCCACTACGGTGAAACAGGAGGTGTTTAAGCATTTTAAAGGTCTGTTCACTGAAAATTGGAGGAATAGGCCGAAGTTGAAGGGTCAATTTAAATCTATTAGCCATGACCAAGTGGCTGGAAATTTGGAAGCATCTTTTTCTGAAGATGAGGTGTGGGTTGCTATTAAGAGTTGTGATGGAAATAAGTCTCCTGGTCCTGATGGGTTCAACCTGATTTGCTTTCAGAAGTGCTGGGAAATTTTAAAGTCTGATGTCCTTCAATTTTTCAAAGAATTTTATGAAAATGGAAAATTGGTGGCTGGTGTGAATAATTCTTTTATCAGTTTGATCCCAAAAATTGAGTGCCTTACTAGTTTATCAGATTTTAGACCAATTAGTCTTATTGGGTCTTTGTATAAGATTGTAGCTAAGGTTTTGTCGCATAGAATCAAGAAGGTGATGCCCAGGGTGGTTGGAGAGGTACAGTAAGCCTTTTTGGAAGGTAGAAATATTCTGGATGGTATCCTCATTGCGAATGAGATTGTTGATTGGTGGAAGGGGAGTCGAAGAAAAGGGTTGATACTCAAGCTGGATTTTCAGAAAACGTATGATTCTGTCAATTGGGAGTGCTTGTTATCTATGATGGAAAAGTTTGGGTTCGGGCAAGGTGGAGACACTACTAAAAAGCAGGGCTTTTGAGTCGGCAGCTTGCCGTCGCAAATAGCGGATTTGCCGACGCAAAAACTTTTTGCGACGGCGTTTTTTGATCCCAAAAATTGAGTGCCTTACTAGTTTATCAGATTTTAGACCAATTAGTCTTATTGGGTCTTTGTATAAGATTGTAGCTAAGGTTTTGTCACATAGAATCAAGAAGGTGATGCCCAGGGTGGTTGGAGAGGTACAGTAAGCCTTTTTGGAAGGTAGAAATATTCTGGATGGAATCCTCATTGCGAATGAGATTGTTGATTGGTAGAAGGGGAGTCGAAGTAAAGGGTTGATACTTAAGCTGGATTTTCAGAAAACATATGATTCTGTCAGTTGGGAGTGTTTGTTATCTATGATGGAAAAGTTTGGGTTCAGGCAAGGTGGAGAGGTTGGGTCAAGGAGTGTTCAGCATCGGCCAGAGTGTCTATGTTAGTGAATGGCTCCCCTACGACTGAGTTCATTCTTGAAAAATGCCTCAGGCAAGGTGATCTGTTGTCTCTATTCCTTTTCAATTTGGTAGCTCAAGGTCTGAACATGTTAATGGAAAAAGCTAGATTCCTAGGGCTAGTTAGGGGAGCTGTGGTGGGTAAAGATGAAGTGGAGGTCTCACATCTCCAATTTACAGATGATACAATAATTTTTTGTGAAGCTAACATGGAGGAGGTCATGGTAATTAAATGAATTTTGAGGCGTTTTGAATTGTTTTTAGGGTTAAAGATTAATTTTCATAAGAGCTCCATATGTGGAATTGGAGTGTCTGATGTTGAGGTGAAGGAGTTTGCTTCCAGACTTAACTGTGCAAGTTAGAAGTTTCCACTGATGTATCTTGGTCTGCCTTTGGGGGCTAGTCCCAGGTTGAAGAAAACATGGAAACCGGTCATCGAAAATTGCAGAGCCAAATTAGCTGCTTAGTAGAGGCTTGGTGGGAGATCAACGCTTATAAAATATGTGTTATATAGTCTTCCTATCTTTCACTTATCTATCTTTAAGCTTCATGTATCTATGGCTAAGGTAATAGAAAGGATTCAAGCAAACTTTCTCTGGGGAAGGTCTGAATTGAAGAGAAAAGTCCACTTGGTCAGCTGGTTAGAAGCAACCAAAAGTAAAGAGAATGGAGGGTTGGGTATTAGAAGAATTAAGAAGGTTAATGTTTGCTTTTTGGCCAAATGGTTGTGGAGGTTCGGGGCTGAATCAAACACCTTGTGGAAAAGAATATTGTGTAGCAAGTATGGGTCAATGGGTGGGAATTGCCTGCCTATTATGACTCTCACTAGTAATTATTCAAAAATCTGGACTCGAATCATTAGCAGAGGTCAATCAAATCCTCAGCTTTTGAGTGTTTTTTTGGATAATAATCAAGTGGTGGTGGGTAATGGGAGCAGAATCCATTTTTGGACTGATTACTGGATGGGGCCATGCTGTGTTAAGAATGAATTTCCTAGGTTGTTTAGTCTATCAACAGAAAATGAGGTGTCTCTGAGATTGGTGGTCTAGAGGAATGAAGTCTCACCTAGATGGAACTTCAGGTTTAGAAGAAGGTTATTAGGATGGGAGGCTGATGAACTAAGCAGATTGATTACCTTTTTAGATCAGAATTTGGTTGGCCTCTCAGATAAGGAGAATGGTCTTGGGCGGTTGGCATCCCCATCTGGTGAGTTCTTTATCTCATCTCTGTATTATTTGGTTGTGCCTTCATCTTCACTAGTGGTAACAAAGTTGATTTCGGATAATTTTTCTCCTCCAAAGGTTCAATTTCTTTGTTGGTTAGCTTGGAAGGAGAGACTAAAGACAACTGGGTTTTTTTTATAGAGGATTGGAGTGTTAGGACTAAATGCCTCTGCTATGTGTGCGTTCTGTAATGGTGAGCTTAAATTTGTATTTCATCTTCTCATCCGGTGCCCATTTGCTTGGAGAGTTTTGTAACGCCCTCAAAATTAACCCATAATATCATACATTCAAGGTACAGAAAAAAGATATTATATTACAATCATCTGGGTATTCTTACAAAATGTAATACAACAAAATTAACAAATAAGAATCTTCAACTCCCTCAATCTTCCAAGCTAAGGTCTCGGAGACGGCACAACACCTGAACCTGAAAATGATGTCCCATATAGGGTGAGCCAACGCCCAGTAGAGATATGCTAAACATAGTATGAACGATAACTAAAATGTCAGTGATTGATAAATGTCTAACTCGTACACAACAACTTATAACATTATTCAATCCCATGACTAATATATCCATGTTCTATTCCAGTTTCCATTTCCTATCAGATTCTCGATTCATAATTACAATTCAGAACTAGGCCAATCATTTTGAATGAGATCACATCTCATGGCTACGGTATTTCTATTCCAGGTGAGATAATAACTCATTTTAAACATTTCAAACTTCATAATAGATACACATATTGGTGTTGTATCACAGTCAGACAACCATTCCCATACTTCTCAAATGATATTCATTTTAGTGCTATATCAAATCAAACAAAACACTTCCATACTTTCTACATGATATACATTTTAGTGCTATATCAAATCAAACAAAACACTTCCATACTTTCTAAATGATATACGTTTTAGTGCTATATCAAATAAACATAGAAACACTTCTATACTTCCCACCTGATACACATTGTAGTGTTGTATCAATGTCAAACAGTTTCTGGTTTAGAGGTCCATCCCCCATCTTCCAATAAACCGTAGAGTACATCCCCCATCTCCTCCCACACAAAGCAATGTATAAAAGCAGTTATCATATACAAGTTCAATCAATCAATACAAATGATACACATTTTAATGTTGTATCAATGTCAAGCAAAACACTTCTAGACTTCACAAATGATACACATTGTAGTGCTGTATCAATGTCAAACAATTTCCGGTTTAAAGGTCCAACCCCCATCTTCCAATAAACCGTGGAGTACATCCCCCATCTCCTCACACACAAAGCAATTTATATAAACAGTTATCATATACAATTTCAATCAATACATAAAATTAATGTATTCTTTCAACCGTCATATTCGATGACACATCCAATCAATTAGTTTTGGTTTGCCTAATCATCATGCATTGTCTACAACAATCAAAACTACCCTCCACCAGTAGCCCAAGGCAATTATTTCTAAACAGATAATAAAAGCACCAACAGATAAATTATCCGCATTTTCAAAAGTGAACGATTTATTAATCTGACTCCACTATTCCATCTCATAATGAACCACTAACATTATATTCAACTCAATTTCACAAATTCATAACTTTCTCAAATTAATTATACCAATTAATTTATACACAATTTAGAACTTTCTCTCCATTTTCTCAATCTTGACCCCCAAGGGTCCAAATATTACCAAAAACATCAACATATTCATTTTGAAACCCAAATACACAGTCATGGTTCAAAAGAAACAAAACCCCTCTTTTCAAAATCACACATTTGAAACCCTGAGTTCCAAAATCCAAAACCATTTATACAAAAGCTCACAATCTACGTCAAAGCCCATAAAGATGAGTAGGAATCCCTACCTCAAAGATGAAACCCAACGAAGAAGATGAAGGAAACGAAGATGCTCCAAATCCCGAAATTCTTGGATCAAAATATAGCCCTCAACAATCAACACACTTTTTACAAAGGCCGAAGGATAAGGAGACACTCTAACTAGATCAAACCCTAGAGAAAAGGGAGATCCTAGAGAGAGAGGCTCTCAAAATCGATTTTGGGAAAGTAAGAGAGAGAAAAGAAATGTAAAAAGTGATTTAAAATTACCCAGCGAATGACTCATATACGTATGACCCACTCGAGCGGAGAATAGAACGCTCGAGCGTCAAACACAAAAATCTGGTTACGCTCGAGTGCAAGAAGGCCCGTTCGAGCACCAAGAAACAAAAGCAAAACACATCCGCTCGAGCGCGAAGAACAAGTTCGCTCGAGCGTAGATTTTCACCTCCCAGAACTTTTCAGAAAAAGAACTACCCGCCCGAGCGCCAACAAGCCCGCTCGAGCTCGACCCACTCGAGCACAAGAAACCCACTCGAGCGTAGAAGTTTTGCAGGGGCACGAAATACTGGAAGTGTGTAAACCCCGCTCGAGCGCAAGAAGACCCGCTCGAGCGGACCATTCAAAAACTGGGTAACAACAATGGGAGCTAAAGCTCTACCAACCTGTAACAACCAAGCCCAACACATTCTAAAACTCAAACAAAAAGGGTTTAAAGGTTAACAACACGATAGATACAACTACCAACTCCACGGAACCGCGTCTGGAATACAACAGAACAGTAAAGGGATAACCGGGATCGCTATAACCTCCCCCCCTTAAAGAATTTCGTCCCCGAAATAAAGAATACGCCAAAAGTACAAGGCCAACTGATCACACAACACCAACACCCGAGTACCAGGAAAGATTCTAACCTCATAACAAATTTTCGATCTACTCTTACAAATGGAAGGGTTTACCAAGGAAACACGTTCCGAAAAGAACAACACTCCGGTATACAAATATTCCGCCAAAACCAAACCCTTCCCAAGATAAATCACCAAAACACCCGACTAGCGCTCCAAGCTAAGTCACTACTCAACAATTATAACTCCAAATAGAACAACCAACACAACTCTTTTGTATACATTTATGAGAAATTATTGTCTGATTCATGAGGCATTTCTCAAAAGTAATCAAGTTTTCAACGTTGACATTTCGAAACAAATTTTGCATTTTTCATGCGAAACTCAAAAGTTTGGTAAATATTTTTCATAAACACGGTGTTACTCGTAACACATGACCACCTACAATTTGTTTGCCAAAGACTTCCCATTGAAATTTCTCAACAATATTACAATTCAATATTCAACAACCTGACCCATTACCGGTCACTTTATCTCTATTCAAGAGGCAATTTACACTATCTGCTACAACATGTATTTCTTCAGATCTAACAATTCCCAACATACATGGTTCACAATTTCATATCATAGTCAATGTTCATGATATATTTCCAGTTCTACAATACATTCAACACATGCAATGTTACATTAAACTTTCATTTCAAGGCAAGTTTCAAAATACTTCCGTGAACCAAAACAAATGTAATGTTTTTCAACTTAAGACATATTCAATGCTCTTAAAGTTCAACAGTATACAACACATGCTCAAACATCCACAAATAGATCCGGATATTTCTTTCGGACCTGAGGTGTACTTACCCAAGTGGTTTCTCCCAAAGGTATTCAGACTTATACCGTTACCACTTAAACACGTCATTTACAACTGGCCATAGCCGAACTCAAAAATTCTCCTCAAATTATTTTCGAAGAATAGGGATCGCAAACTCACATTTCGATTCAAAATCATTTTAGTTTACAAAGAGTACTCAATTTCCCTCCAGCGAATTACAACGTAACCAACCCACAAAACCCGCCATACTCACAGTGATGATGCAATCCCCAAAAAATAATACTTTCACGATAGGGACTCCTAAACGTTTGAAACTCCCAACAACACAACAACATAAAGGATAACTTTGCACACCCCCGTGCCTTACAACGTAGAAATAAGGACCGAACGAGTCAAAACGACTCTAATAGAGTGCCTCACTTACTCTACACAACCTTACTTCCTCACTTGTACTACCACTATCCAAACTGGACGATGGACACTTATATCAAAGTGACCTAGCTTTAACAAACCTCAAACCACGCGATTTCATCAGTAACCACACTATAGCCTTACCAAGGCATTCGTCTGGGATTCCCTAAGATTAATCCCCTTCTACACATCATCTAATAACCACATACGAACCACACACTAATACGCATCGTACTATGCAACACTTCCTCATTTAGGGATTTCTCTCACCATCTCAACTAAACTCGAAGCAACTGAATTTGCATACCCCTTCTCTCGTATCGAGTTAACAGACAGGGTTTGCCACACTACGACAATTACATTACTAAGTAACCGTTCGTACCGAACACAAGCAAACATAGCACCTTCATCGCCAACGACCTATAGGGTCGACCCTTTATTCCACATCCTATTTGTCATTCATTCCGAGAGTACAACCAAGACACTAGGTCTGCGTGCCCAACAACCAGCCATTACTACTACTGAACAACTGCCTTGCACCGAACCCCGGCACAATTGCATATCACCGATAAGGTTTCCAAAGACTCACCATCCTAACCTTCCAGAAGAGTAAAAGTCCTCACCCTCCTCGCTATTATCCCAAATCTCCATCCGCAAACACCATACCACTGTGACTCCATTCACGGGTCACACCCTAACTACGGCCTATACACCCAATCAACCCTCACGATAGCATCTCCTGACCTAACCAGTGCTAAGGTACAAACCTATCACATTTGATCATAATAAAGGAGCCCGCAAACTTAGGAGACACTGAAATACTACTACCCGAGATATAGCACCAGGTGCTCACAACACACCACTCCCCGGTACCAACAACCACAACCTCATATAAGGACTAACA